AGTTGGAGGACACATTTCATGATTTCGTAACTTAGAAAAGTACAATAATTAGGACAGCATGGTACTGGCATAAGGGTATAGATTAATGTAATATAATTGAGAGTCCAGAAATAAACTCTTACATTTAGAGTCAACTGATTTGACATGGGTGCCAGGACAATTCAATGAGAAAAGAATAGTCTTTTCAACAAATGGTGCTGGGGCAACTATATATCCACATGAAGTTGGACTCCTACCTTACCCATATACACAAATTAATTCAAAGGGATCAAAGACTTAAACTGCAGGAGCAAAAACTATAAAACTTGAAAACATAGGCATAAATCTTCATGACCTTGGATTTGGCAGTTTGTCTCAGATATGACACCAAAAGCAGAAGAAACAAAAGAAAAAAGTAGATAAACTGGACTTCATCAAAATGTAAAACTTTTCCTATTCAAAGGGCACCATCAAGAAAGTGAAGGCAACCACTGAATGGAAGAAAACATTTGCAGATCATCTATCTGATAACAGACTTGTACCTAGAATATACAAAGAACTCTTACAACTCAACAATAAAAAGACCAGAGGCCAAGTGTGGTGGCTCACACCTGTAATCCCAGTGCTTCAGGAGGCCAAGGTGGGAGGATCACTTGAGACCAGAAGTTCAAGACCAGCCTGGGAAATATAGTGAGAGCCTCATCTCTGCCAAAATATTTTAAAAATTAGCCAGGTATGGTGGCACACACCTGTAGTCCTGGTTACCTGGGAGGGTGAGGTGGGAAAATCACTTGAGCCCAGGAGTTTGGGGCTGCAGTGAGCAATGATGGCACCACTGTACTCCAGCCTGTGCACCAGGGTGAGACTCTGTCTCTCTCTCAAAAAAATAAAAAATAAAAAAGACAAGTAATCCAACTTTTAAAGAGGGTTAAAAGGACCTGAATACACGTTTCTCCAAAACAAGATATACAAATAGACAAAGAGTGAATAAACACACAAAAAATGCTCAATGTCATTAGTCATCAGGGAAGTACAAATAAAATCACACAATGAGATACCATTTCATTCCCATTAGGATGGCTATAATCAAGAAGATGGATAACAAACAAGTATTGACAAGAAACCAGAAGCCCTCTTACACTGCTGTTGGTCATGTAAAATGGTACAGCTGCTTTGGAAAATGGTCTGGCAGTTCCTCAAAAGGTTAAACAGGTAATAACCACATGACCTAGAAATTCCACGCTTAGTTCCATCCACGCTGGAATGCTCACATTTTCCAAATGTACACACCCAAGAGAAATGAAAACATTAAGTCCACACAAAAATTTGTATACAGACATCAGTAGCAACATTATTCATAATAGCTAAAAGGCAAAAATTCAATGTCCATCAATTGATTAATGAATAAATGAAATGTGGTATATCCACACAATGAAATATTATTCAGTCATAGAAAGAAGTACTGCTACATGCTACAACATGGATGAACCTTGAAAACATTATGCTAGTTAAGAGACATCAGTCACAAAAGATCAGATATTATATGATTCCATTTATATGAAAGGTCCAGAACAGGCAAATCTATAGAGACATAAAGTAGATCAGTGGTTGCCTAGGGCTGGAGGTGGGGTGGGGGATTTGTGGAGTAATAGCTAAAAAGTATGGGGTTTCTTTGGGGGCTGAAGAAATATTCTAAAATTGATTGTGGTGATGGTTGCACAACTCTGAATATACTGAAACCCAAATTGTAAACTTTAAGTGGGTGAATTGTATGATATGTAAATTAGATCTCAAGAAAGCTGTTATCAAAAAAGAAAAACAAAAGACTTCCTTCCTCTATGTTCTATGAAACCCGTCTTTTTTTTTTTTTTTCTTTTTTGGCAGGGTCTCACTCTGTTGCCCAGGATGCAGTGCAGTTACAAAATCACACCTCACTGTAGCCTTGACCTCCAGACCTCAAAGGATCCTCCCACCTCAGGCTGCAGAGTAGCCTGGGCTACAGGTACACACCACCATGCCCCGCTAATTGAAAAAAAAAAAAAAAAAAAAAAAAAAAAAACTTTTTTTTGTAGAGATGGGGGGTCTTGTTATAGACCCTTGATCAGCTTGTTAAGCCCAAGCTGATCTTGAACTCCCAGGCTCAAGCAATCCTCCTGCCTCAGCCTCTCAAAGTGCTGGGATTACAGGCATGAGCTGTCGCACCTGGTGTATGAAACCCTTCTTAAGTCCCAATAACACTGACCATTGCATACGTGTCTCCACTGTTCCCTGTGCAGACTTGAGTAACTGTGACCAACACCCTTGCATTTATCTGCTGACATGTCTGTTTTGCATTTATCTGTTGACATATCTGCTTTCCTTTACTAAACTGTGGCCTCCTCAAAGCATGGAGTGCACTCAGTTTTTCTTGGAATACATAGTGTCTGTATACTGTGTGCATAGTATGTGATATGGTACATCATAAATATTTGTTAAAAGACTATCTTAAAGGCTTTCATGTGGAAAGGGAACTGTGTTTGTTTCACGCACATCAATGGGCAAAAATGGAAGACATAATGACATGTATTTTTAAGAATTTTCAAATACTCAGGGCTATCCCTTTCTTCAAAGCAGGGATTTCTGGGTTCTGTGAATTCTCTGATGATACTGAAATTCTGAGTACATTTATAGAGTACGTACATTTTTCTAGAGAGAAAATACAGTTTTAGGCTGAGTGCAGTGGCTCACGCCTGTAATCCCGACACTTTGGAAGGCCGAAGCAGAAGGATCACTTGAGCCCATGAGTTCAACACCAGCCTGGGCAAAACAATGAGACCCCCATCTCCACACAAAAACAAAAACAAACAAACAAACAAACAAAAAATTTTAAATTAGCCCGGCATAGTGGCATGTGCCTGTAGTCTCAGTTACTTGGGAAGCTGAGGTGGGAGGATCAGTTGAGCCCTGGAAGGAGAGGCTGGTGTGATCATGACTCTGCACTCTAGCCTGGGTGACAGAGTGAGACCCAGGGAAACGGAAAAGAAAGGGAAAGGGGGCCAGGAAGAGAGGAAGGGATGGAGGGAGGGAGGGAGGGAGGGAGGAAGGGAGAAAGGAGAGAGAAAGAAAGAAAATACATAGCTTTTATAAGATTGTCAAAGAGGTATGTAACCCCAAAATGGTTAAGATTCATTGCTGCAAGTTTCAGTTACTGGAATGTATCATTCCAGGTAAGTTTTTTTCCTAGGTTATACTACTTCAGTAGCTTCTCTTTCTCAAAAACAGAATTTACAATATTAGTAGCTTAATAATCTTAAGGTATTTATTGACTGCCCATTATATGCCAGGTACTGAAGAAATAGTGATAAACAAGATAAAGTCCTTACCCTTGCAAACTTACATTCTAGAAGGTGGAGACAAAAAAACAAGTAAACACTTAAGAATATTCTATATCATATAGTGATGCCTATCAGGAAGAATATAAAACATGATAAAATAGGGAATGATGAGAGGAAAGAGTTATTTTAGTTAGTGTCATCAGGGGAAGTCTCTCTAAGGAGGTTTCATTTGAGCAGAAATTTGAATGATGAGAAGGGCACTGAGGGAAGAGCACAGCACTTCAGGAATAAAGAGAACTGAAAGTACAAAGATCCTAAGATGAGAACACTGAATACCAACACTTGTTGGTTATTCTCAAGGGAACAACCCCATGTCTAATCTCCACTCTATATTTTCTACAACGTTCAGAAGAGTGTCTCCCACTCACAGTCAATAGTACTTGTTCAAGATAATTCACCATAATGGAAAGACAAGTAAAAAAAAAAACCAAAAAACTGTTTTCGAAGAATCTTCACTGTTCAGGATCATCATGAATTTACTCTTCTTCAAGGTAGACAATATCATTAGACAAAGTAGGTAAAAATCTTTGGGATTATTGCAGTGAGACAGAAAGAAAAAAAAAAGAACAAATATGCAAATATGTTTTAGAAGTCTCTTCCAGGTGGATAGTCTTAAAAGCACAAAGATTATCAGGCAAATTCTATAAACAGAATTATGTGTTCAATCTGCCCTCCACCCCTGAAGCTTGGTGCTTTGCATTTATAGCGTGTATGATGCTCAAAAGAGTGGAACTACACCCAATGTGTATTAAGCAGAGAGAAGTGGATTACAGTTCAAAAGGAGCTGTCCAGCAATCAACAGTTTAAACATTACTGGAAGAGTTCAGATACCGTAAAATCATGTCTCAAAGATGTTACAAGGATAATTTACAGGAGAAAGTTACCAGTAGAATTTCACGACCTGTGGAGAATTGTTTTGGTTCCTTCTCCCAGCCTTCAGCACCATGCCTTTACACTCATTCTGTAAAAGGCCCCAGTGCAGCTAAGAGGATGAATTTTTAAACGCCACATACATCATGCCAACAACGAACAATTAACAGATAAATACTACTTCAATAAGGGGAACGTAATAATTCATTCATAACCACACCTCAGCAACTGAAACTAGGGTTATTAAAATCTTCAAGATATATTTTTAAAGGCACAAGAAGACCCTGAAGCAGTGAGAGCCCAGCACCAAGTTGAAAAAAACATAACGAATTAAGGTTTGCTGTACCAATTGCATTTGCCTTGATTTCGTACGAAGCGGCGCGTCAGAAAGTACACGGAAAACCTAAAGAGGGAAACCCAACTGGGAACCCTTGGCTCAAAGCACGTGTACAAATGGTGACAAGATGAGTTAAATCAGTGGGGTAAGAGAGAAGTGGCTGCGCGTAAACGGGAGTATGCAAGGCCACCTAGAGGATGCCCAGGCATGCACGCATACATTCCTGGCCCTTCCAGCAGCAGAACCATCTGGGCCGCCACCCGCTGATAACAATGGAACCGTGCGGACTGGCCCTTCAACGCCGTCTCGTCCGCCCTCTCCTGTCAGTTTCGTGGATATTTCGGTGAAGGCTGCAGACTCTCAGAATCACCCCTCCCTCGAGCAGCGTTCTCAGTACTCTTCGGCGCCAGGAAGCTTAGAGAAAGCTGGCCGGCTCTTACCTTCAGGTGTCGGCGGCGGCTCCTGCCGCTTCCCGCGGGACAGGAAGGCCTTGGGCAGCAGCAGCGACAGAGCCAGGACAAGCCCAGAAGCCAGAGCAACTCTCTGCACTGTGGAGTACGCCATGACTGCTCACGGCGGTCGCAGGTGCAAACGCCAACCGGAACCGGAACCGGAACCGCAGCGCAGGCTGCCGCTCCCGATCAAACCGCGGGCGGCGCGGACGGCGTCGCGCGAGGGACAAGGTGTGCGAGGCGCCTGCACCTTCATCTCCAGCGTCGAGCTGACCTGCTCCTCCGGCGTGGTTACCCGTCGCTGTAAATGGTACCCTCGCCTTCCTATTCATACTAACTAAAAACTCCTCCCTCACTCCCCATGTTCATCTGTTACTGAGTCCTGTGTATTCTACCTCCTACACATCGTGCCCGGATCTCTATCCCCACTTACCACCACTACCCCCCACCCACCCGTAAACCACAACATCGAGTTTCTCCTCATCTCCATGAATTCACTGTCTTCCAGCTTCCACTCATACCCCTCTCTTTCATTATCCAGCTGCAGCCACAGGTGATAATGCTAAAACAGAAGACTATTTCTCTGTCTCTCCAGCTTACAACCTTTTAACTCTCCATTATCTTCAGAACAATAGTCAAAGTCCTTTCTATAACCTCAACGCCCTGCATGATCTATTCTTACGAATGCTCCTTCCAAACTGGATGATTTACTATTTCTTTAGCATATTGCTTGTCTTCAGGTAAGCTTTGCTCGTCCTGTTCCCACTGCCTGGAAAATTCCTGACACCATCTCCACTTGTCAAAAACTTCTCTGAAGAACAGCTTAAAAATACTGCTCTCTGGAAACTTTTTCAGTCAGCCTCTCCTTCCTCTATAATCCCGCCGTTCTTTGTTACTGTCTTCATTTGTTCATTTAGCATTATTTTAGTTTTTACTATGTATTAGACCCTCAACTTGGCACTACAGGTCTGATAAATAAAACGGATTCCCTTTGTAGGGCAGATAATGATATAAACAAAAAAATGCAGGAAATATTCTGGATCCCCGAGCAGTCTGCTCAACTGGTACGAGGAAAAGTCAAGAAAAGCTCCTTTGAGAAGGTGAAATTGAGTTCGTTGATGAAAAATGAATAACTTACTAGGCAGACAGGTGGGAGGGGTTAGAAAGGTAGTCCAGGAAAAGGAGGCCAAAAAAATAAAGGCAAAGCTGGAAGCTTCCTGGTGTGTTCAGAAAGCTATTGGTAATTCATTTTGGCAGGGCAATAGAGTAGTGACAGGACATGAAGTGCACAAATATAAGCAGGAGCTACATTGTGAAAAGCTTAGGTAGAACTTCCAGGTAAACATGGCAGATGTAACATATGCATTTATCTTTGTTTTCCCGAGACAATGCCCCAAAATGAAAATAAATAAAGTGTATAAACTACAAGACTAAATACAGTGATAGAAAACATGACAGCAGATGAGAAATGTCAATTTTGTAAGACACACGCAACACTGTCCAATAGAAACATAATGCCAGCCACATATGTAATTTAAAATTTTCCAGTAGCCACATTTAAAAAATAAAAAGAAGTAAAATTTAATAGTATTTTAAACCAAGATATCAAAAATATTTCAAATTTTATCAGCACAGTAGTGTGGGTCGTTGGCGCCCACATTAGACAGCACAGGTGAAGAGCATAAAAAGTTAAATGGCTGTAGAGGGAAAGCCTGTAAGGAGTAAACTAATTTGCCACTCAAAACCCATGCTCTTAAGAATTGGAGGTACTGGGTTCCTTTAAAGCCGAGGGTGCGGAGTGGGTCTGAATGAAGAATTGGCTGGAAATCTGACTAAAAAGCAGTTGAGACTGGGCACGGTGCTCACACCTATAATCCCAGGACTTTGGGAGGCCAAGGCTGGAGGATGGCTTGAGACCAAGAGTTCAAGGCCAGCCTGGGCAACATAGTGAGAGCCCTAATCTCTACCCAAAAAAATGTGAAAAATTAACCAGGCATGGTGATGTGCACCTGTAGTCCCAACTACTCAGGAAGCTGAGGTGGGAAGATTACTTGAGCCCAAGAGTTTGAAGCTACAGTGAGCTATGATTGTGTGAACCACAATTAGTTATGATATATAAGATGATAATAATGCCTGAATGAAGCCAGTAGGAGCACCCACTCCAGCCAGGATGACAGAGTGAGACCCTGTCTCTAAAAAAAAAAAAAAAAAAAATTGTTTAATTTTTTTAAAGCAATGAATATCTTCTGAATCTCTTTCCTTGATTCATGTAGCCAGATGGGTGCCCCTGCTGGCTTCACTCAGGCATTATTATCATTGATGTTATTAACATCACTAAAAGTTAGAGTACTGATTATGTTCTAGGCATCTTACATATCATAATTAATCCTCCCAATAACTTTAAGAGGTAAGCAATATTATGGGTATCATTTTACAGGTAAGAAAATGGAGCCCCAGAAAACATAATTTACTTGCCAGTAATTACACAGTATAAACTGGAAGCTGTGATTTGAACACAGGCATGCTTACTCAAGAATTTGCCGTCTTAGCTACCAGGTTTACTCTCTGGGGAGGTTTAATCAGAAAACCACTGGACTCCTGGACTATAGGTGCAGATTAGGGAGGAGGTGACTAATGGGATGTGGTCTCTAAGAGATACAGAGGAGTCTGGAATGACTGGCCCCCGCCCCCAGATTCTAGCTTGGGTAACTGGGTAGACATTGATTCTATGTAACATGATTTTAAGAACAGAAGAATCAGGTTTGTGAGAAAGATAAGTTCGGATTTTGACTAGCTGAATTTGAAGTTCCATGAAATATCCAAGTAGAAATATCCAGTTGGATATATGGGCCTAGAGCTCAGAAGAGACGTTTGGGCTAGAAATAATATGGAAATCATCAGCCCATCTATAGTAAATGAAGTCTGGCAGAAGATGACATTAGTGAGAGTGCTCATGTGAAGTTATAAGAAGCCACAGTGGAAACCTAGGTTACAACATTATGTTGAAGTTCCCATGTATGAGGACAGAAATGTGGTGGGAAATTTCTGATCCAAGTGTTAAAATCTTCAACGAATGTGGAGTTACTACAAGGTTGGAAGGTGACAGGAACAGAAGAAGTAATGAGCAGCCAGATGATATGCTCTTCTAAGGGGCTGTGGTTTATTTTTTTATTATTATTTTTATTTATTTATTTATTTATTTATTTATTTGAGACAGAGTCTCGCTCTGTCACCCAGGCTGCAGTGGTGCAATCTCAGCTTACTGCAAGCTCCTCCTCCTGGGTTCATGCCATTCTCCTGCCTCAGCCTTCCAAATACCTGGGATTACAAGCACCGGCCACCACACCTGGCTAATTTTTTTTTTTTTTTTTTTTTTTTTTTTTTGTATTTTTAGTAGAGACAGGGTTTCACCGTATTAGCCAGGATGGTCTCGATCTCCTGACCTTGTGATCTGCCCGCCTCGGCCTCCCAAAGTGCTGGGATTACAGGCGTGAGCCACTGCACCTGGCCAGGAGCTGTGTTTTTTAAAGGAAGAAGAGGAAGAAGCAATTTGGAAGCAGCAAGGGGGAACAAGTTGGGCATCTATTCTATTCCCTGGCTTTGAGCTGTAGGAAGAAAAATAGCTCTTACTTTGGGAGATCTGCAAGGGAAACAGAGCCCCGAGGCAACAGTCTAGTTTTCATTAGAAGAAGACAGGCCAGGTGCAGTGGCTCACATCTGTAATCCCGGCACTTTGGGAGGCTGAGGGGGGCGGATCACAAGGTCAAGAAATCAAAACCACCCTGGCCAACAGGATGAAACCTGTCTCTACTAAAAATACAAAAATTAGCTGGGCGTGATGATGCATGCCTGTAATCCCAGCTACTTGGGAGGCTGAGGCAGGAGAATTGCTTGAACCTGGGAGGCAGAGGTCGCGGTGAGCTGAGATCGCACCACCGCACTCCAGCCTGGCAACAGAGTGAGAGTCCATCTCGAAGGAGAAGGAGAAGGAGAGGGAGGAGGAGGAGGAGGAGGAGGAGGAGGAGGTTAAGATAAACTTCAAAGAAGTCAAGGATATAGGAGTTTTTCTGATGATAGATCTTGACTCTATATGGCACGGTAAGTGGAAGGTTTGGAAGTCAGAAATGGAGTCAGAGTAAAATATGAAGTGAGCAGAATGGAGATGAGGGGCCATGTGCAAACTAATGACCTTGGGGACTTGGACTTTAGATGGTGGCCAAAGTAAATGGGCAGAGATCATGATCTCATTAGTCCTGGAAGTGGCCGAGAGAAAGGTGAAAGCAGCAAGTTATAGTCCAGAGTATTTGGCTTGGAACATATTCATTGTTACAGTCAGTTGGGATGTGCGCCTGGAAGACATGGGAGCCTCCTCAAGGCGACAGAGCTGGTAGGCAGCTCATGGAGCTGGGGCAGCTTGGAGTGGGACCTGGGATGGCTGCTGTCTCTGGTGGCTAGAGGTATAACATCAGAGCTGGGAGTGCACTAAAATTGAAGATCTTAAGGGTTTAGGTTTTCCAATAAAGTACTGGTAGGGGGCTGGGCATGGTGGCTCATGCCTGTAATCCTAGCACTTTGGGAGGCCTAGGTGGGTGGATCACCTGAGGTCTGGAGTTTGAGACCAGTCTGGCCAGCATGGTAAAACCCTGTCTCTACTGAAAATACAAAAATTAGCCAGGCGTGATGGTGCATGCCTGTAATCCCAGCCATCCAGGAGGCTGAGGCAGGAGAATGGCTTGAACCCAGGAGGCAGAGGTTGCAGTGAGTCGAGATCGCGCCACTGCACTCAGCCTTGATGACAGAGCGAGACTCTGTCTCAAAAAAAAAAAAAAAAAAAAAAAAGTATTGGTAGGGAATTCAGATCAAAACTCAGAAGTCTAATGGCTATAGGCTGAAGAAGGAGGAAATGACAAGGAAGTAGAGCTGGCAAGTACAGCCCACTGTATATGGAGCTGGCATGAAAAGAAGGGATAAAAGTTACGGTGATAACTTGAGGGTGCCTTTTCTAAGGGAAGAGAAAAGAGTGTTTATACATTTAGAGGAAAAATGTCAGAAAAGAGGAGATGGAAAATAGAGGAGCAAGGGAGATCAATGTAGGAG